CCACAGCCTTGGAAAACGCAAAGAAGCAGTTCTGCTCCGTGCTGTGGGGTCACTAAGAATAGGAATTGCCTCAATGCCCGTGGGTTGGGTTTGGGTCTTCGCTTTCCATACTTTGTCCGTTCCGAGAAGCTGTTTATTTGTTTGTTTTTCTCAGCCTCCGGGTGTCTACTTAGCTTACTTTGTTCATGAAGTTCTTCATGCACGATGCTTCCTAGCACACCAATCGTTTTTTATTATTATCCCTATTTTGCTCTTTGGATAGTAAATGTTTAGACAGGTTGAAGGTAAAAGCAAACAAAGATCAAAACTGCCAATGAAAATTCCTAGAGCATAAAATAAGAGAAAATGTGCCAATAAGAAAAGTATTGTATTTGATCTGAGACTCAGAAAATACTTTCCAAAATTTGATGTCACTTCTGCAAAAGCGGAATATTTTAACAGCGTTCATGTTGACACTGCTTGCCATCGTTAGAGGTTCGCCTTTCAGCGCTTCACTTTCGGTCCCTCCGATTGTTAAGGCATCCATATGGAGATTTTTGAGTCCAGAGTTTCACAGTGAGAAGCATGTGAGCCTAAAAATCAGGTTTTTATGTATGGTGGGGGAGGAGGGGTGGCGGTGCTACTTTTAAAGAGAAGTAGACTAACTTTTGTTTGTATCACCAAAACAATTCTTCAAAGTAAGCAGATAGCAAGGTGCCAGGAGAACCTGTTTGGAGACGTGGTTTGGATAACTTGGCTCAGCAATATCTGCTCACCTCTTTTCTGCTGCTCAATTTGAAGAAGGGCTCAGGGAGCCCAAACTCCTGGGGTGGGGGTGGGGGTGGGGCAATGGGGGGTGCTTAGCTGAGCTGAAATAGCCTGATAATATCGCAGGTGATTCACAGTACCCATGCCAATGAGCGGATTTTGACTCATAGTGGCTCTATAATGATCCCATCTGACAGAGCAGAACAGCTCCAGAGGGTTTCCAAGGCTGTAATAGGTAAGCACACGGAGGGCCACAGCTTTCTCTGCCTGTGAATTAACATAAGGCTCAAGAATTTACATAAACCAGATAGTGGGAGGGCCAAGGCTCTAACTGGGGAGGGGAGCAGAGGAACCTTTACCTTGGCAAAGAAGGACGAAGGGAGAAACTAGAGAAAAAATGCCTTCCCTGCCTTCGCCATTCTTTATTTTCTACTCTCTGCCCAACTTAAAAAAAAGTCAACGGAGCTCTAATTTTTTTCTTTTACTTTTTTATTTTTAAATCATTTCATTAGGGGCTCATACAACTCTTATCACACTCCATACATGCATCAATTGTGTAAAGCACATTTGTACATTCATTGCCCTCATCATTCTCAAAACATTTGCTCTCCACCTAAGCCCCTGGCATCAG